AACGTGCTGTGAAGCCACAGCCTTCCTCACCCAGCTACTCCTCCCAGCACGCGCGGAACCTGAGCAGCCCCACACGCCTACAAATATTATTTGGTTGCTGCTAACAAACCATGAGAAGGGAGAGCCCGGGATCCCGGCCAAGGGCGGTATGTGCGGACCTCCTCCTTCCCTGAGCATGTGGCTGGGCCACCGCCCTGCAGGAGCTCTGCACAGGGTGGTCCTGGATAAGGGACTAAAAAATAAAATAATGTGCACATACTGCCTGTGAGAAAGTCAGAACTTCTCTGAGTGTGGGGGTGCTCTCCCATAACCCCAGAGTTCTTGGCATCAGCAGGCAGGGGGATTGCAAGTTCAAGCCCAGCCTGGACAATTTGATTGAGCAAGACCTTGTCTCAAAATAAAAATGTAAAAAACAGGCTAGGGGGGCTGGGGATTTAGCTCAGCGGCACAGCGCCCGCCTGGCCAGCGCAAGGTTGTGAGTTCAATTCCCGGTACCGGGAAATAAAAAAAAAAAATTAAAACAGGCTAAAGATTAGCTCCTTGCGAAGGCCCTAGGTTCCATCCCCAGCACCACAAAAACATACACAGAAAAAGTCAGAAGTTCTTTGGACTTGCACCTATTTTATGTTGTATTTAAACAATGCTTTGGGGGACAGACAACTCTCTTCAGGCCTCAGAGCCTAGGTCCAGCTCTGCCGAAGGCACCATTCTCATCGTGGACCGAGGCACTCTACCCCCGCCTCCCGTTCCATAGAAGCCGAAATTGCCATTAAAACACCATACATGAGTTGGAAACTGAGGCTGTAAATTCAAGGCCTATGGGCTGTCTTTAACCAAGGGATGCACAAACCATTTTGTTTGTGTTAAAATTTGCAAAATTTCACATTAAAATCTATTTTCTTTTCCTTTTTTTGCCAAGAAATGTTCTTTAATTAGGCACTACTGATAAACAATATATTCACAACTAATATTTCATTCATGTTGTGAAATTATGAGTATTACATAATTTGCATCCAGATTTGACTGTTATTTACATTTTTAAGCTTTCTTTCCAAAAGGAGTTCTCACATGATTTTTCCTTTTGTATCCCTAGGGCTTCTGCTCAGTGTCCATTCTTATGTTTGCAAGGTCTTCCAATAATGTACATTATTGTGAGACTTTGAATGGATATGCGAGAAATGAAACATTCCCACATTCCTTATATTCATAGATTTTTCTCCAGAGTAAGTGTTTGCACATCAACCAAGAGAATTAGAGCAACTAGATTCCTTAACGCATTGCTCACATCCACAGAGCGTTTCTCCAGTGTGAGTCCTGCCTTGCGGGTCTGTTTTTCTCTCCTGAACAATGGAAGAGGCCTGGGGGTGTAGTTCAGCAGCAGAGAGAGCACTTGCCTACCATGTGCAAGGCCCTAGGTTCTATCCCCGGCTGGAAGAAAAGAAAAACAAACACAAAACGTGAAAGTTATTGCTGAACTCAGAGTGCCACATGGCCAGGGAGGGAAGCACACCGGGGCCTGTGCTGCTAGAGATCCGCTTGCTCCCTTTGGGCTCAAGTGGGCTCCACTCTTCCGTGAGGCCTGCCTGGTTCAGGTGTCAAGGTATTTGAATTTGAGACCCTCTAAGGCGTTCATCCCCACCGAACCGCGGAGTCTGCAGCAAAGGAAGCTCACCAAAGCTTTGACGAGCTATTTTCATTTCACTGTGAATGAAGACCCACAGCACAGGGCTCCAGCTCTGCGGGCGTAGATGGTTGCTGACCACCCCAGGGGGAAGACGACTGAGTCTGGGGTTGCAAGCAGGATACACACGCGGAGTGTGAGAGTGGGCATCCATCGGGAGCACGCCTGCCCTGCCTGCCCTCGAGAACCGCCATGGCTCCTGTCTCCTAGCTTGGCCGTCCTGAGTAGTGAGTAGCCTGAATTCACTTTGCAGGATCCAGTTTAGGTTCCACTGGCCAAGCTAACTGGCACAGGCCACCCCACCCCTGGTGTTAAGCAAAGCAGAGGTCACTGGACCACCTGGCTGAACGTACAGAAAATCTTCAGGCTGCTTCGCACAGGACACTTCAGGCAGTAGGTTTAGTCCACACGGAGCACTTCCAGGCCAGGAGGAGGAGGTGGGATACCTGAGCGGCTCCAACAAGGCTAGTTTTCCTCTGCAGGTGCTCCTGCTCACAGTGATGCCCTGCAGGGTCACTGGCCACCCTATCATTCTCTGTGGCTATGTCCTGAGCTAAAATACAAAGCCGCTTTGCAGTGAACCTTACAATCTTTTACTTCCCGCACTAAAACAAAACAAAGCAACACAAACAGAGGGCTAGGTGTGGGATTGGGGGTAGAGAGCTGGTTTAGCATGCATGAAGCTCCTGGTTCATTGTAGAGAGGAAATCCAAGTACCAAACGGTCCACAGTAAACCAAAACCCAGACCCTTTTGTATACCACCACTAAATAAATAAATAAAAATAAAAAAGCCAATCTGTTCTCGGTTTCGACGTCCAAGGACATTCTTTTTCACCACCTTGCAATGTTTGTTGACTTAGACCATGTGGAGAGAAAACCTGTTGGATCGCATTATTCAAAACCGTCTCCTAGGCTTGCAGGAAAACAAAAGGCTGCTCCTCGGGAATCCCCGCCTTGGCAAAGCTGACACCTGCTAGATTTTTCAAGAGGCCTTGGGACGAATCAAGGAAAGCTGGGGCCTGCCTCTTCCCACTAGGGGTCGCACTAAACAATTGGGAATGCAAACCAGGGCCCAGGGCTGTCCTGTCAGAAATATAAAACCATCAAAGGAGCTGCAAAGAAATCTATTCCTGAATTTTTGTAACTGCAGCCCCAAATCCTATTAGATGTGCCCTTATAAGCGGGCTTTTAGAGTTTGACATTGTTGTGCACTTTTCAAAAAAGCAAATATCTCCACATAGGGGAACATCTACTGTATTATACCTAACAGCTGGAATAGAAAATACTTTTGAGTATACCTGTGTATTCCAAATTATGGTGTATTTGGTTTCATTTTCACAATATATTTTCAAGTGTTACTACTATAACTTCATTGGCCAAATGGTTACTGTATTAGGATAGGAGTAAGAAAAACTGCTATGGAGTGCCTGGGTAATGTTCTATGGATTTCAGTTGCTTTTTAGGAAAGTGGGAACAGTACTTATTTCACAGGATTAGCTCTGAAAACTAATAATATGATGCATAAAGTGTCGGACTTCTTTCAAAAATTTATACTGTGCTCTTTCTAAGAGCCATGGTCATCCTTTCAAAGAAGAGTGAGACACACTTTTATGAACAGGTTCTAATACAACTTTCTTTTTTGTTTTTTTGGGGGGTTTTTTTCCGGTACCGGGAATCAAATCTAATACAACTTTCTAAGCCACTAAAGGGCTAAAATAACACTAAATCTAGTCTTTTTATAAAAGCAAGTACACCACAAAAAAGTTAACTGACCTCTGCAATAACATGCAGTTAACTAGAGGTAAAACCTGGAATCCGAGATCTATTGATCATCACTGTTTCCCCTTACCTCGATAATTGTACATTTGCCTATCAGAAACCTGCAGAGCCAATGGAGTCAATCCCCAGAAATTTCCATTTCTTCATATGTTTGTATCCCGCCCCCCCCATAGACACAGTTCTCTACGTTCAAATCCTTGTGGAGGCCATGGACATATGAAGCCAGGGCAAGCGCTGGTTAGTGTATGGTCTGGGAAAAGATGATTGCAATAATGACCAGAAATCCCTGCACAACTACAGAGCGCTCCTCCTAAGGGTTCATTTTGAAGAACTCGGACCATTACATTTTACTTTGCCTGAATCAGTTCTAGAAGTGGTTGAAACATTCAACCCTTGGCTTGCAGGCTAGGAGGTGTGGGGTGGGGTGTGGAGCATGTGTTCTATTTTTGCAGTGGAAACCAGAGGGTCAAGGCCAGGCCAAGCCCCTCTCTCAGGAGTGGCACCTACAATGAGAGGGTAGGTCCCACTGCTGACCTGGGGTTGGGGGGAGTAAGAGCCAGCAGAAGCAGGTGGGGGCAATGTTAGGGCTGCCTGAGCTTTTGCAGGATGCCTACTAAGTGCTTTCTCAGCCATCTCTAAGGGCCAAGCGTGGGCAAGGCACTAACCCAGCTACTCCGCGGGGCACCCAGAAGTAAGCTCAGGCACGCCATCCTCTGCAGCAGCACCATGTAAATCAGAGAATGAGCTCAGCAGTTATTTCAACATTGCAGGGTATCCCGAACCTCTACTACAAAGATCAACACCTTGGTTTACTTGGGAACAAACAAATCATGGTCCCTAGTTAGGACTTTTCCTCATACAGAGCCAGTTTTCCCCTCCTCCAGTCAACAGGATCATTAATCCCTAAAAAATGATTTGAGGGGTCGCCAAGCATTTAAGTTTTTGATGCCAGACCTTTCATCACTCCTGGTATGTGGGAGGGGGCAGCTAAATGTCCCCGCAATGCAGAGAGCTGGTATTGGCAGAGACACACACGGCCTGCCTTGCGAGCTACCCCGCACAGAGAAATTTGGGGGAAGCAAAATCCCTACATCTAGCCATCACTTCCACTCGAGTTTTCAAACTATCAGAAAAACGGAAAGGACCGGCGAGTCGGCAAACCCCTAAACAGGAACCACCGTCTGCGTCCTTGGGATCTCAGCAATCGAAGACCCCACATGGAACCTATGGTGGGAAACCCCAGGGAAAGGTTTCTTGCAGGGACTCAGGATTACTGAGCGCAGGCTGCAGGGAAGTACCTGGAAGGAGGCGGCCTCACTGAGAGGACTTTCCAGCCACTCAGCGCTCATCAAAAAGCTCCCTGACAGTGACCCAGTGGCTCATCGCAGGGAGTTTCTCTGATGAACCCCAGCTCAGGGTTTAGATGCTTCGCAGAGGACGAGGCCAGTTCTCTTTTCTGGTCTGACTGGCTTGGAAATTCCCCGCGCCTGACCCCGCCCCGGAGAAATCCCCTGCCAGCGCTTATAGGGCGCCGCGGCGGCGCTGCCGAGCCCACAACAGCCCGAGCTCTCAGTCCTGCCCGCCAGCGACACACACAGCCAGGAGGCCGGCGACACCGCTGCGAGGAAGCAGGCGACGCACCGAGCGGGGAGCACAGCGCGCAGCCTGCGGCGAGCGCACCGGGAGCGCGCGCCATGTTCCAGCCGGCCGAGCGCGTGCAGGAGTGGGCCATGGAGGGGCCGCGGGACGGGCTCAAGAAGGAGCGCCTCCTGGACGACCGCCACGACAGCGGCCTGGACTCCATGAAGGACGAGGAGTACGAGCAGATGGTGAAGGAGCTGCGGGAGATCCGCCTGGAGCCGCAGGAGCCGTTCAGCGGCGCCGAGCCCTGGAAGCAGCAGCTGACGGAGGACGGAGACTCGTAAGTGCGCGGGCCGGGCTGGGG